TGGGGCCTTGGCCTTTGTAAGCCTCATCGAGTCCTTTGGGAGATGCTAGCGGGGTACAAATAAAGTTTAATAATAATAATAATAATAATAATAATAATGAGGCAGAAGCATTATTTTCTTCATACTGTACTCATTCCAGCCTCCCTCCTTGTCTTACTCTTGCTCTCTTTGTCTCTTAATGAAGCCAAACATACCAGAAATAAAAATCACACAAAATCAACTAACACAGCGTTCCTCAAAGCGGACAAGAGTAAAACAGACAACAATCTCCCAAAGCAGACAAGAGCACAAGGCACAGAGGCTGCTCCCTTGAAGCATTAAAGCCATGTACTCCGGCACTAGTGCTCCCTCTGGCACTAGCTCATAACTCAGAATGCTGCTTGTATGTCAAAAAGAAACCCAGGACAAGTGACAGCTCTTAACTCAAAATGCTCTTAAGTTGAGGTTTCACTATATATATTACATGCAGAATTTGATCAATTCTTCATCTACCTTTGAGCTTGTCCGAGACTGATTGTTGCAATGTGCTTATAATTCAAATCCAACTTATGGCATCTATATCTTATGGGTTTCTTGTTAAGGTTTGTTCAGAGGTTTGTCACAGCCTTCCTTTAAGGCTGAGAGAATGTGACTTGCCCATGATCATTTATATAATTTCCAAAGCTAGGCAGCCATTTGAACCATATCTGCTCAGCTTTGGAAATCCTAGTTAAATATTCAAACCTCTATACCTCATTTGATATGCCTATCAAATGAAAAAAACAAAATGTAAGGACTAAAAGACAGTGTCACCTAAAATAGAAAAATCAATACAAAACATGACAAGCTCATAAACATCTCTATTAGTTAGTCATGGTCTAGCAAAGAAGAATAGACATTATTTAATAATTATCTGCCTAGCATCCTAGTAAGAGATAAAAACTAACTCTAGAACTGTAGAAACAGAACTTGACCTTCTCATACTGACTTCATTGCAAATGAAATGCTATGAGATGCCATTGCAGCCAGTCTTCTTTTGATCAAAACAACAGCAATTGTGTAGTCCTGCACCACAGTTCTCCATATCCTGAGGAGAATTTCGGATTATATATTTCCAAAGACAGAATATGCATGTGAAGGAAAACTGGGAGGAGGGCAGGAGAGAAAGGAAAAGGAGACATTATCTACTCTAGAGATAAGAAAGTAGCAAGAACATAAGGCAACCTATGAACTTGCAAACCAAAAGAAGTTCAAATTTTGCATGTATGCTTTTTTCTTGCTGTCAAAGAATATACCCAGCAGAAGGTCACATACACTTGCTGGGTTTCCAGAACACACATACACTGAAGCTCATTCTATCACCCATTAAAGAGCATTTTCTACTATAAAACAAGTGGCCCAAACCTTACAGGGTGTGGGAAGGGGGGGGGAACAGCTGCTGACCCCCCCCCCTCACAACTGCTTGTTGTCCCAAATGGCTATGTATCTATGGAGTCCAATTGTTCATCCTAAAATATCATTTTTGGCATGTAAAAGTTGTTTCTGGAAAATAGAAGGAACTGAAGTTCGTGCAGCTGAGTCACACAGTGTAGCTTAGTATCTCCAATAGTGGGTGGGAAAAGGCTCTCCAGGACTTAGGCAGGTGTCTCATCTGGGCTTGGTTCCACAAATTCCTTATCTGGAGTTACTAAGAACTGAAACTGGCAAGGTCTGCTCTACAATCAAAGTGTTGACAGTGGCAAAACACATGAGAGAGAGATATGCCAGGAGAACCATAAATATGTCAAAGAAATTCAATTAGATATATCTAGGTTTCATTCCGGTTGCAGAGAAGGAGTAGACATGAATATGCTTTGAAGATTTAAAAAAATCAATTTTAAGGAATGATTGGCAAGATTCTTATGCTAATCTCAATTCTTTCAGAAAGCAGGAAAGGTTGGATAGGTGAAATAATGAGTCAAAGAAACCTAAAAGGGCCCATGCTTATATGAATAATAAAGACATGGGACCTTAGTGGTGGAAATGTAATCTAGTTCAGCAAAGCAATTTAAAGTTACATTAGAAAGGCCTGCCACAGTTTCCCTAATGACCAAAGCATAGTGGTAATACACACTTTCTACATGTTGCAGATCGGGGATGCAATATCCAGTTAAAAGTTCTGAGACAAGAGGACAGAAGAAAACCTCTAGCACCTGGAGGAACTGTCATGGAAGTATATACCAAGAGATCAATTATGTCAATGTTTAAAAACAGCTTAAATCTGTACACCACAAAGAAACCAATAAGCCTTCACTAAATTAAGATCGTGTTCTCATATATTGAGAAACTTTCCAAGATGTCCTGCATGGACTTAAATGAGACAAAACTAAAGGATTTTTGAAGATTACACAGAGACCTGTACATAAACATCTACAAAATATTCACTATCCAAATTCAAGAAGAATAATCCAGAAAAAATTAGAATCCTTTGCAATCTGTGTAAATTTAATAATCCAATGAAGAAACATACATGAATCTGATGGGATGGCATTTTTTTACATTTGACAAAGCAGGGCATAAATATTTTATGGAAGTTAAATGTTTAAATAGGTAAAAAAACAAATCAACATTAATTTCAGTACCATGAGAAAGAAAAATGTGAGAACTGTAGTGTAGATAAGTGCTAAAATTGGCAAATGATTATCAAAATGTTTTATAGCTGTGAGAAAGATTCTTTCTTTTGTATGTGTTCTCCAACTATCATTTTTTCAGGCAAGCTTTCAAAGATGAAGGCTTTTAAGATCAAGTCAGGAAGTGCTGTGGTTTTAACTTGAATATGCATTGAATATGTTGAGTCCCCTTCAGGAGAAATAAGCGGGGTATAAATAAATATAATAATAATAATAATAATAATAATAATAATTCGCTTGACTAATGTTATACATAGAGGAATGTGACTAATGTGTTGTTAAGCGGCTGAGGGGGAAAAGGAAGGGGTCTGAAGCTGTTAGGAATGGTGGGAGTTGGAAGTCCAAGACACCTGGAGGGCCCAAGTTTGCCCAGGCCTGCTTTAGATCAAGAAGCATGAATTATGCCCAAGATTATTCAGTTTGGTCTTGGGCTCAATTCCAAATGTCGGTTATGCTCTATATGCCTTAAGTTCAGACTATCATAAAGATATGTCTTCCTATCTCTGGTCCATTCTCCAGTCCCCACATCCACAAAGATATAATACTACTACTAATAATAATAATACAAAGAATAATACGAAGAAGAAGAAGAGGAGGAGGAGGAAGAAGAAGAAGGCCTAAGTGGCTGAGGGGGAAAAGGAAAGGGCCTGAGGCTGTTAGGAATGGTGGGAGTTGAAGTCCAAAACACCTGGAGGGCCTCGTTTGCCCAGGCCTGTTTTAAATTAAGAGGCATGGCATTATTATGGTTTAATGTGTATAACAGTTTTAAATGGTATTTATATGCTTATTGTTTCTAGTGATTTTGTTATGTTTTATATGGTTATTGTATAATGAGCGCTTGAATTTTTGTCTAGATGTATGATGTATGCCACTCTGAGTTCCCTGAGGGGTGAGAAGAGCGGGATAGAAATGAAATAAATAAATAAATGATGCCCAAGATTATCCAGTTTGGTCTTGGGCTCAATTCAAAATGGGTTGTTGTAGGTTTTTCCAGGCTATATGGCCATGTTCTGGAGGCAATTTTTCTCCTGACGTTTCGCCTGCATCTATGGCAAGCATCCTCAGAGGTAGTGAGGTAGACCTGTCCAGAGGAGGGCGACTAAAATGATCAAGGTCTGGAGAACAAGCCCTATGAGGAGCGTCTTAAGGAGCTGGGCATGTTTAGCCTGAAGAAGAGAAGGCTGAGAGGAGATATGATAGCCATGTATAAATATGTGAGAGGAAGCCACAGGGAGGAGGGAGCAAGCTTGTTTTCTGCTTCCTTGGAGACTAGGACTCAATGGAACAATGGCTTCAAACTACAAGAGAGGAGATTCCATCTGAACATGAGGAAGAACTTCCTGACTGTGAGAGCCATTCAGAAGTGGAACTCTCTGCCCCGGAGTGTGGTGGAGGCTCCTTCTTTGGAAGCTTTTAAACAGAGGCTGGATGGCCATCTGTCAGGGGTGATTTGAATGCAATATTCCTGCTTCTTGGCAGGGGTTGGACTGGATGGCCCATGAGGTCTCTTCCAACCCTTTGATTCTATGATTCTAATAGCATAATACCAGGATGCTGGAGGATGCTTGCCATAGATGCAGGCGAAACGTCAGGAGAAAATGCCTCTAGAACATGGCCATATAGCCCAGGAAAACCTATAACAACCCAGTGATTCTGGACACGAAAGCCTTCGAAAATCAATTCAAAATGTCGGTTATGCTTTATTAAGTTCTATATGCCTTAGGTCCAGACTATAAGATTGTATCTTCCAAACTTTGGTCCGTTCTCCAGTCCCCACCTCCACAAAGATATAATAATGCTAATAATAATAATACAAAATATATATATATACTAAGAAGAAGAAGAAGACAACGACCTAAGCGGCTGAGGGGGAAAAGGAAAGGGCCTGAGGTTGTTAGGAATGGTGGGAGTTGGAGTCCAAAACGCCTGGAGGGCCCAAGTTGGCCCAGTCCTGGCCCTGGCCTAAGCCCGTTCAATTGTTATGAGGCAGAGCCAGAGCAAGAATCAAGGCAACGGGGGGGGAAAGGCCTGGACGCCGACCCACCCCCTGGCGCACCTGAGGCAGCCCTTCCTGGGCCTGCAGTCGGCGAAGGCAATGCGGCAAAAGGCGAGGAGTGGGCCCGGCCGCCCTTTCGGGCAGGACTCCATCGCCTAACGGATCCTGCCTAGAATGGTCCTTCCTCCCTCCATTGGCAGAACAGCGCCAAGGGCATTTCGCAGGGGCGATGCGACGGTTGCCATGGCGACCCGAAGGCCCGGATGATGTGGGGGGCTAGAGAGAACAGCGAGTGGGCCGCCCGTTGCCGTGGAAACGCGGCCTTCACTCACTCTCTCTCTCCTCTGAAGCCTTACCTGCCGAGCGTCCGCTTCATGCCGTCGCTGCCCGGCAGACGCAGGCTCGTCCTCAGGCTGAAGCCCTTCTCCAGAGGCTCATGCTCCAACGTGACGGACTCGTTCCGCTTTCTCATCCCGGCGAGGAGGTTCCCAGCAGCAGCAGCAGTAAGCAAGCAAGACCAGACTCGCTCTGAGGGAAGACGCTCTCCGCCGCTACATCCTCTCAGCCCAGCAACAGGGCAGGGCGATTGAGAGGCACCTCCCAGGCTCCACCAATCAGAAGCGCCCACCCCCCAGAGCCACGTGACCTGCCTCCCTCCCTGCCTCAGCCCAGAGAGAGGAGGTGCTGCCGCTTGCCTGCCCGGGACCAAGGTGGCCGCCGAAGCCTCAGCGTTGTCACGTGACGTCCCCTGCCCGGGACCAAGATGGTCGCCAAAGACTCAAGAGCTCAGAGGAAAACAAAACGTCACCTATCATTTCCCTTCAAGCCTTCACCAAACAAGACTTTTATCCTTCCAATAAGTGTTTTTCTTCCTGTCATTTTAAAATTACATAAAATATCATTCATTAAAAATCCCAGCCACAGTTCAAGTTGGATTACTGCAACGCACTCTACGTGGGGTTGCCTTTGAAGACTGCTCGGAAACTTCAACTAGTCCAGCGAGAAGCAGCCAGATTGCTCACCGGAGCGGCGTACAGGGAGCATACCACCCCCCTGTTGCGTCAGCTCCACTGGCTGCCGATCCAATTCCGAGCACAATTCAAAGTGCTGGTTTTGACCTACAAAACCCTATACGGTTCCGGCCCAGTGTATTTGTCCGAACGGATCTCCCTCTACATCCCATCTCGAAGTTTAAGATCTTCTGGGGAGGCCCTGCTCTCGACCGCCACTATCACAAGTGAGGTTGGCAGGGACGAGGAGCAGGGCCTTCTCAGTGGTGGCCCCTCACCTGTGGAACTCACTCCCCGGGGAGATTAGATCAGCAACTTCCCTTCTGGCGTTCAGGAAAAAATTGAAGACCTGGATATGGGACCAAGCTTTTGGACATTCTGGCAGCTAAAGTAAAGATCTGACGATAAACAAGGACAGATGGAATGGAATGGATATACGGAACTCTGAACACTGAGCATGAGATTGTTTTGTTATTTCATTATGTATTTATGTTTTTAATTTGTTAACTGTTTGAATTGCTTTTCTGTATTGTTTGTTAATTGATTCAGGCATCGAATTGTGCCTTCATCTGTATGCCGCCCTGAGTCCCCCTTGGGGTGAGAAGGGCGGGGTAGAAGTAATTTAAATAAATAAATAAATAAAATATATTATAAACTGTTGTTTTCATAGTATTGTCGAAGGCTTTCATGGCTGGAATCACTCAGTTCTTGTGGATTTTTTCGGGCTATATGGCCATGTTCTAGAGGCATTTCTCCTGACGTTTCGCCTGCATCTATGGCAAGCATCCTCAGAGGTGAGGTCTGCTGGAACTGGGAAACATACATCAAGGGAACCACTGACCGCATAGGGAAACTGATGAGGAAACACAACATACAAACAATCTACAAACCCACCAAGAAAATCCAGCAAATGCTACGTTCAGCAAAGGACAAGAGGGATCCTCTCACCTCTGCAGGAGTCTACCGTATACCATGCAGCTGTGGACAAGTCTACATAGGGACCACCAAACGCAGCGCCCACACGCATCAAGGAACATGAAAGGCACTGCAGACTACTCCAACCAGAGAAATCAGCCATAGCAGAGCACCTGATGAACCAACCTGGACACAGCATATTATTTGAGAACACAGAAATGCTGGACCACTCTAGCAACCACCATGTCAGACTACACAGAGAAGCCATTGAAATCCACAAGCATGTGGACAATTTCAACAGAAAGGAAGAAACCATGAAAATGAACAAAATCTGGCTACCAGTATTAACAAATTCTAAAATTGCAACAGCAAAAACAGCAGAGAGAAAAACAGGCAGGGACATCTAATCACCTTTCAAGAAGAGTTTGCTCCAGGCACAGTCAGCCCATTGTATGCTAATCAAGGTGGTCAGTTGAAAGATTTACACCTAGCCCAACTTACAAAAGCCCTTTGTCTCACCCTGGTCATTCCACGGATATATAAACCCCTTTTTCCCCCCAGTTCCAGCAGACCTCACCTCTGAGGATGCTTGCCATAAATGCAGGCGAAACGTCAGGAGAAATGCCTCTAGAACATGGCCATATAGCCCGAAAAAACCCACAAGAACTGAGTGTTGTTTTCATACTTTACTACAATGATGACATATATGTATGTATATATACGAGAGGAATTCCAGAGGTTAGCCAGAAGAGATAAGGAACTATTTTTAAATAAGCAATGCATGAAAGTGGAAGAAGACAACAGAATAGGAAGGACAAGAGACCTCTTCCAGAAAATTAGAAACATTGGAGGTAAATTTCAGGCAAAAATTGGTATGATAAGAAACAAAGATGGCAGGGACCTAACAGAAGCTGAAGAGATCAAGAGAAGGTGGCGAGACTATACAGAAGATCTGTATAGGAAGGATAATAATATTGAGGATAGTTTTGACGGTGTGGTGAATGAATTAGAACCAGACATCCTGAGGATGAGGTTGAATGGGCCTTAAGAAGCATTGCTAACAACAAGGCAGCAAGAGACGACGGGATCCCAGCTGAACTGTTTAAAATCTTAAAAGATGATGCTGTCAAGGTGATGCATGCCATATGCCAGCAAATATGGAAAACACAAGAATGGCCATCAGACTGGAAAAAATCAACTTATATCCCCATACCAAAAAAGGGAAATGCGAAAGACTGCCGTACAGTGGCCCTTATTTCTCATGCCAGTAAGGTAATGCTCAAGATCCTGCAAGGAAGACTCCAGCAATACATGGAGCGAGAGTTGCCAGATGTTCAAGCTGGGTTTAGAAAAGGCAGAGGAACGAGAGACCAGATTGCCAATATCCGCTGGATAATGGAGAAAGGCAGGGAGTTTCAGAAAAACATCTATTTCTGCTTCATTGACTATTCTAAAGCCTTTGACTGTGTGGATCATAATAAACTGTGGCAAGTTCTTGGTGGGATGGGCATACCAAGCCACCTTGTCTCTCTCCTGAGGAATCTGTACAAGGACCAAGTAGCAACAGTAAGAACTGACCACGGAACAACAGACTGGTTCAAGATTGGGAAAGGCGTACGCAAGGTTGCATACTCTCACCCAACCTTTTCAACTTGTATGCAGAACACATCATGCGATGTGCGGGGCTTGATGAATGCAAGGCTGGGGTGAAAATTGCAGGAAGAAACATTAACAACCTCAGATATGCAGATGACACCACTCTGATGGCCGAAAGCGAAGAAGAGCTGAGGAGCCTTCTAATCAAGGTGAAAGAAGAAAACGCAAAAGCTGGGTTGCAGCTAAACAAAAAAACCCCAAGATTATGGCAACAAGAATGATTGACAACTGGGAAATAGAGGGAGAAAATGTGGAGGCCGTGACAGACTTTGTATTCCTAGGTGCAAAGATTACTGCAGATGCAGACTGTGGCCAGGAAATCAGAAGACGCTTACTTCTTGGGAGGAGAGCAATGTCCAGTCTCGATAAAATAGTAAAGAGTAGAGACATCAGACTGGCAACAAAGATCCGCCTAGTCAAAGCCATGGTATTCCCTGTAGTAACCTACGGATGTGAGAGCTGGACCTTAGGGAAGGCTGAGCGAAGGAAGATCGATGCTTTTGAGCTGTGGTGCTGGAGGAAAGTTCTGAGAATGCCTTGGACTGCGAGAAGATCCAACCAGTCCATCCTCCAGGAAATAAAGCCCGACTGCTCACTGGAGGGAAGAATACTAGAGACAAAGTTGAAGTACTTTGGCCACATCATGAGGAGACAGCAAAGCCTGGAGAAGACAATTATGCTGGGGAAAGTGGAAGGCAAAAAGGAAGAGGGGCCGACCAAGGGCAAGATGGATGGATGGCATCCTTGAAGTGACTGGACTGACCTTGAAGGAGCTGGGGGTGGTGACGGCCGACAGGGAGCTCTGGCGTGGGCTGTTCCATGAGGTCACGAAGAGTCGGAGACGACTGAACGAATGAACAACAACAGACAAACACACATATATACACACACAAAGACCATATATACAGACTGGGCCTCAGCAACGCGTGGCAAGGGACGGCTAGTGACACACACACACACACACACATATATATATATGAACAACACAGTTTATATGTGTGTGTGTGTATATACATACACACATACAAAACAGTTTATATAAACTTTTATTCTTTACTACAATGATGACATATATATATATATATACACCCGCACGCACGCACATATATATATATGAACAAAACCGTTTTTATATATGTATGTATGTGAGCCCCTGGTGGTGCAGCGGGTTTAACTGCTGAGCTGCTGAACTTGCTGACCAAAATATCAGATTGATTCCGTGGGATGGGGTGAGCTCTCGTCATTAGCCCCAGCTTCTGCCAACCTAGCAGTTCAAAAACATGCGAATGTGAGTAGAGCAATAGGTTTTTACTGGCACATTAATCTATTAATTTATTGTTAAATTTTACTGGTGATGTACAATGTTTTAAAATGATTTTATTGTGAATTGTAATTTTTATGGTATTTATGCTGTTAGCATCCTCTGATGCTCATGTGAGGCCGCACTGAGTCCCCCTTGTGGGGGGAAGGGTGGGATATAAATATACGAAATAAATAAATAAATACTGCTTCAGTGGGAAGGCAATGCAGTCATGCTGGTTACATGACATAGGAGGCGTCACCGGACAACGCCGGCTCTTCAGCTTAGAAATGGAGATGAGCACCAATCCCTAGAGTCAGACAGGACTGGCCATATAAATTAAGCAAATACATACATACATACATACATACATACATACATACATAAAACATAATTCATTAAAAATCCCAGCCACTGTTCAAGTGATATAAACTGTTTTATTCTTACTGTACTACAATGATGACACATACACTCTCACATATATATTAACAAAACAATATATGTGTGTGTGTATAAACTTTTGTTATTTAATAATATAGCAACAATAATGCAGGTTGAGTATCCCTTATCCAAAATACTTTGGTAATATTTGCATGTTTAGCTAATGAGATATCTTGGAGAAGAGACTTGGGTTGAAACTTTACATTTATTATTTGTATCCATCTTATACCTATAGCCAGCAGGTAATTCTTATATACCACATTTTTAATAATTTTGTGCATAAAAGAATCTTTATGT